TTTTTAGTGAATTAAATGGCATAGCACTATCAGTTAGCTACTCTGATTTCCTCAAACCGGGGAGATTAATAGCGGAGTTGCATTTGGAAGTGGAACACGCACTTATACAAATTACACTCTGAAGGCCTTTCTACAGAAAGTAAACGAGGAATACGCTCGTTTCTTTCTTGTGCGCTCTAAAGCGACTTATTTTGTCCCGATGGACAGAATTAAATGTTTTTACTGCAGTTAAATTCTAAACAACAAACCCTCGAGTTTCACTTCATTCATTCAACCAATGTTCGGCGAATAAAACAAGCTTTCAAGCTCAATATCGGATAGTTTGCATCCACATTAATGATCTTAATTACTAAAAGGTGTTTATACACATTGGTTAAACTTGCACCGATTACAGGAAACACATCACACATCATCAGACATAAACATATTATTTGTGAATATATTGCTCCGATACTTTCAATGATTTTCACTGATTGTCTTATGAATTGTCTGTGTACGTTCTGTTTCTTTGTCTGTGACAAAAGAAACGTAAGGGTTTCAGAAAGGGCAGGAAGCAGATGTTCAATGGGTCATGTGGCGTCACGCTGTATAGATCCCGTGTTTGCGGGCCTGAGGGCATCAGTTAATTTACTCATCCTTTTCCTGCTGGATATACTAGTTCTATTCATTGGCGATCACAAGACATCAGGAGGTATCTATATGTCGTAGCCCTCATACAAAAGATCTCTGTGGTATCTCTTGATTAGATTAATCCAGACCTCATGATGGCTGATAGGGGCGTATCAGTGTCCGTTCATGATAGAAATCCCTACACCACAAATGGACCATTTTAATACAATAAAATACAATATATATACAATTTATCATAACACTACCTATCTAATTTCCCTTATTGTAAAAAGGTCCAATTAGTAGTAATAGTAGTAGAAGTAGTAATAAATAAATATATTAATACATTTATTTATTTATTGAAGTGAATGCAATATTAGCACGTTTTTGTAATAATTATTGTATTATTTTATATTTTATTTAGTTATTATTGCATATTTTTTGTAAGTGTTGATTCTTTTTGAGCCACTGGCAAGAAAATACACATTTTGAATGTTTGTGAATATAAAAAATGTAAGTAAGAGAAGCTCCCTACTATGCAAAACCCATTCCTTGATTCATAACTTTAATGTCTTCAGTCTTACAGCCTGGTTTGTTCCAGTACTCAAGAATCAAATTTTGTTTGGATATTTTCCAGGCTTGAAAACTAATGAGAAAAGACAGAATACTAACTGTTAATTACTGCCAGCACCACAGAAATCTCCTCAAGGAGTAAAATGGAAACTAAGATCACATTTAATATGCTACATATAATTTGTGGTATAAAATAAATGGAAAGAAACATCACATCATATTTGTTGGGCCTACAGACGGTGGTAACTGACAGTTTTCATTAGCGAGAAGACAGACGTGCAGACGTCTGATGGGAGACAGGGGAGATGAAGGAATATCTCTGCAAATACCAGACTCTTTGCATACTGTAAAAGTTGAAAAAAAAAAAAAATCCACACAAAGGGATCACAACGGCTTGATAATGGCCATAAAACAGCCGTTTCCATGTGGGCTGAAGCATTGCAAGCAGGTTATCTGGATGTTGGGCTGTCTGAGGGGTGAAGAGGGCTCCTGGCTCTATTGTTATACTGCCTGAATGAGGTTGGGAGGAAAATCAGCTTGGAGACCAACGCATCTGATTAACAACAGAGACAGACAGCAAGCACATCTAGACCTCTGCTGTCCCTCATGCATGCTGTCAAACATATAACGTTTATTTGCATGCTCAGCATTTATTCAGACACACACCAATTTAATGTAAGCAAAAGTGAAGAACTAGCATGTCTGAACATGTTAACTCTATCAAACACAATGCTTAAACAGCAATTTTAAGGGTTAGTAAACGTCTGTCCCTGTGACAGACTGGGCCTAGTAAGTGGGAGGGGTTTGTCATCCATGATTGACAGGTGACGAGCCCATAACCAGACCAGACAGCACACTGATCATGGCAAACAGCCAATAACACTCTGCAGTGCTTCTTAACTGGTGGGTCACAACACTAAAATGGGTCACAGGTCTGTTTATTCTGTGGACAGCAGGTGAATGAGGTTGGGAGGAAAATCAGCTTGGAGACCAACGCATCTGATTAACAACAGAGACAGACAGCAAGCACATCTAGACCTCTGCTGTCCCTCATGCATGCTGTCAAACATATAACGTTTATTTGCATGCTCAGCATTTATTCAGACACACACCAATTTAATGTAAGCAAAAGTGAAGAACTAGCATGTCTGAACATGTTAACTCTATCAAACACAATGCTTAAACAGCAATTTTAAGGGTTAGTAAACGTCTGTCCCTGTGACAGACTGGGCCTAGTAAGTGGGAGGGGTTTGTCATCCATGATTGACAGGTGACGAGCCCATAACCAGACCAGACAGCACACTGATCATGGCAAACAGCCAATAACACTCTGCAGTGCTTCTTAACTGGTGGGTCACAACACTAAAATGGGTCACAGGTCTGTTTATTCTGTGGACAGCAGGAATTTGCAATCAATGTTAAGCTTATAATTTAGGCTAATGTTGGCTTCATGGAAATATCAATACATGTACAAAATGCTGGTACTATGTTGGGTCTGTAAAATAATGATGCAAACCCAGCATGCTGGTGTAAAACACTGGTACAAAATGGAAATATTTCATTTCATGTGGCATTTAAAAAACAAAACCAGCCCAGTAGAAAAGACTGTATACTATATACATATAAAATATTTTCACAAAAAAGTAAAATATTATTATAATTTAAAACGACTGTTAATTATAATTCATAATTTAAAAAAACTGTTTTCTACTTTAATATCTTAAAATGTAATGGCAAAGCTGAATTTTCCATTGCTCCAGTTTTCAGTGTCACATCATCATTCAGGAATCATTCTAATATGCTGATTTGGTGCTAAAAAAACATCAGTAACAATCGTACTGATTTTGAACAGTTGCATCACATACATTTTAATATGTTCAGTGTTTCACATTATAGTAGTCTTCCAAACAGTCATTATAGTGCTTACCTCGGTCAAATTCATGTCTTTCGCTTTTCTTCCAGGTTCCGGTGGGACAAGCGCAAATTGCTTCGTTTGGCTTGAATCTGCCATTCCATTACCCTTCAGCCCCTTTGGGAATGGACATATCCATGCTCCTCATGACCTCTGACCTCTCTCAATCAGGACATGGGGGTGAAACACAGGGGTCTCTTTATGGTCATTCCTTACTCTGAGGTCCACAGGGATGTCACCCTGAGATGTTCTTCTACTGATGTTTTTCATGGCTCCTCTCTGGAGAGCTGCAACAAATCGTGGTAAACTAATGGTATATTCATTTTTTTTTAATGGCAACAGCTGGAATGCGGGGGTAAAAGACCATGCCACTTAGTTGCTAGAGAAATGTGTTTCTTCTCTATTTTTAACAGTTTTTTTTGGTCTGTTCACAAATCTACATTGCCTAAATCTGAATTAGCTAAAAGACTGATAAACCTTATATGGTCTATTTCATAAAATACCAGAAGATCCTTCGCATGACCCCTCACTAATCTTAAAATGCTGATAAACTAATTTAGTGAAGGATTATCTGGAAACTCAACACGGTCTGATTTATTGTCAGGCCAGCTACCATTTTTGTCTCCACATTGGTAACGGAGTCTATTGGATGCGGCTGGTGGTCAGAGAGCTCAAGCCAAAGAGCCACCGACGGCTCATCGACTTTGTTTGGGTCAGTGCTTGAGCAGATAATCTGGTCAGGTTCACATTATTCTCACAGTAAGATTCTCGCCTGGCTAACAGAAGCAAGGCCATTTCCTGAAAATCAATACCAATGTACACGGCAAACTGAAAAGAAAAAAAACATTAAGACAGGTCTCAGTAACTTGGGGATTACACAGTATTTGCCCAGTGAAACACATTGCTTGAGGGCAAGACAATAAATGTATGATAAACAAGGGGAAAACAGCATGAGATAAGCCATACAATTTTTTTTTCCAATTGTGCAAAAATTGAGACACGGGGCTTTATATCTGTCAATTTCAATTATAGGTCAGGCAAGTGCCAAATATTCTTTATTTGCTCTGTTGCCCTTTCTTCTCTATGACCTTATTCAGATATAACAAAGTAAGTGCTGAAATAAGTCAAAATGCTTTTTTTGTCCCCAAGAAGGGTTTCTATTTGCATAAACATTCAAGGATTTAGTGTATTAAAACAACACATAGCAGATTTGCCAAGTTTGCGGTTTTCCTGCGGAATTGGGCTACTTTTATACTGCTACGGCAGGTTGTGTTTTCAGTCCACAGGTTGAAACGAAACCCCCGCCCCCTTGGAATGCGACTTCAACCAAGGTGGAACCCCCTGGAAGGAGGTTTTGACCCCCCAAAACGCATTTTTTGGAGTGATTTTTATAGCCATATTCCCCCAGAATGCAATTGGGCTAGTTTTGGCCATGATTGGGCTGGTTTTGTTACGCAGACCTGGCAACCCTGAAACACAGAGATCCCTAAAAGTATTTTGACACTTCAGTTTTTAAAATTTGACCTTCATTTGATTAGATATTTACTATCAAACTAAGAGGCATCTGCAAAGAATTGATGTGTTTTTAAACAAAGATAATTTTTCGTGTATGCATGAAGTTGTATTTAAACAATATATTTATTATAATTTGGCTTAATTAAGCAGCCAAAGCATTTTTGGGGCCACTATGCATTTGTGAAAGTAAAATGATCTGAATTAGAGGAAAAAAAAAATGCATCAATACAGATAAGTAATAGTGATGGAATAGTTCCAGCAGAACCTTATAGCTGTAGAGTGAGTTCACAAAGCAGGAACACATTAAGATCGAAGTGAGAAAAAGCAGAGAACCCGTTTTCATTCCAAAATCTTCTATAACTATAAATACGATACTAGCAAATTCGATGACTGATCTACAGTGAGCCTGGGATCTCTTGGCCTGCTAGCGAGACCCTCAATTCTGAATTCATTTTCCCTCATAATGAAAGCTTTCCTATACTAACATTTAACAGATGGAAGTCCACCTTTTTCATATTTCCTTCTGATTGCAGTAATAGCCTTATTTATGAGTGTCCATTCCAACTGAAGCACAGATCTCAGGCCAGGCGGAGCTGGAAGCGTGATGGAAATTAATCTAGTAATCTTCAGATCCTTTCCTCATTTTTCAAAAACTACCCTAATTCATCACTGAAATCAATGACTTAGATCAGATCGTGCCAGGTCGTTAGGTAAGGCATGATTAGCCTTGAAAACTCAAGGCCAAAAGCGTCCCAGATGTCAAAGAAACTCCTGGAGCGAGAGCTTGTGAATATACGAAGGAAACAGCCATTATTACAGTTTTTTACGATTGTTTATACACTAAAATAAAAATGTCCACACAATTTGCAAAATTCTACTCCAATGAGCAAACAACATGTTGTAATAGCAACATGTGTAATGTGAGTTTAAGAAATGTTACCTTTGAGACTTCCCTCAGCTACTGTTCAGTTAATTTAATTATAACTGGCATGGTGTTCTACTAATATCTCTAACACATGCACTCTAAAGACGGAACTGAGCACAATGGATCAAAGTCTTCATCAATAGAGGCCCACGACCGGATCCAGAAGCTCGCTCAAAGCTTACCAGCATCCAGGCCTCTCACCCACCTTCCCATCCCTGATTAAAACAGAGACAGGGCCCCTGAAATCAGCACATGTGGGTGATTACAAAGAGACCTTCAGCAGCGTAACTTAAGCTAAATTAAACATTTTCATTAACTAAAAGAACAATAAGAAGTAAAATACAATTGGATTAAAGTCAAATACATTTTCGTGACTCCACGACGAAAAAACAAACAAAATTTTAGATATAAATTATATTAAAGAACTTAAATAATAAAATAGGAAAATTAATTAAATAGAAAAAAAGCCACTAGACAGCGATATCCCTAGCGATATATGGCCCTGAGAAATTTAACTTTTTTATTTTTTTTATATCAGTTAATGCATTAATGTTATCAGCACCAATATACTAAAATAAAAACTAAGCATAGTACGAAGAAAATGTAACTTGTTATAGTTTCTGTAAACGCTATAAAAAAATTAAAAAAAAGAAATTAAAAAAAAAAAGAAAGCGAAAAACAAATTAAATTGGCCAAATAAATAAAATAGAGCAAAAAAAAAAAAAAAAAGAAAAATAGAAAATTCAGTGGCTTTTAGTGCCTTGGATTACTCCTGGTAGCCCAAACACCGATTAATTTAGCAGGTTGAATAAATGTGGCTGTTCGTGTGTGCTGACAGCGAAGACGGTTGGATTTTCCAAAAAGTGGACGCCACTAAGAAAGTGCAAGGCTTTTTTGGCTCTTCTGCAGATTGAACAAAGGTGGTGTGTTGGGGCAATGGTCTGTTGCTTTCTTGTGACCCATGAAATGTTTTACAAAACACTTTCCTATAGCCGGCATGTCTACTGCAGTTATCCAGGTAGCTGCCCTTGATTACAAGGACAGATGCATCCCAATTAGCATGCCGGTCCGATTAACACGACCACCTGTACTTGAGAAAACAGGGTCCATCCTAATTGTGGATGGGCTTTTAAAAGCTGGTCCAAAAGAGGAATTATCCAGCAGCTTGATCCAGTTCAGCTCACATCCCGCTGCAATCAAGAACATTGAAACCTAAAGAGCCAGGAAGCACTTGGGAACAACTGCTTATATGAATCCCTGCAGTGAAGTGCAGTGGCCAGATTAATCTCTTCATCTTCTCTCTGGACATCTCTTATCCTCCTCGGTCATAAACTTGGCCGTGCTAAAGATTTACAATCACGTCTTCCTCTCTCTCTCCTATGCTGCTATTGAGTCTAATTACTTTAATGTTTAAACCTCCACCATCTTTTTCAGACACACATTTTCTTAGTTCCATGAACCAAATGCCAGAAGAGGCTAAGAATAACACTCCTCATCCTACATTTTTGAAGGGATGATATGTGTCCTCGCATCATGGATTTACTTCAAGCCATACAATAATGAACTCATTTTTCTTCAAAACACTTGCATCTTTAGAGATCAGCTGGCAAATCTAGACTATGAGCTACTTAAACCTCATTTTAGCCACAAATAAACCTAGTAAATGATCAATGACATGTCAAAATATCAAGGACTATTAAATTCAAATGCAGCATGTAAATGGAGACGTTTTATGTAAAGACTTTGAATGGGAAGAAGCTTGTGACCACCAAAAAATGGCTACTTATGTGACTTAATTTGGACTCAAATAACAATATATATGAACCCACCTGGTTTGAGGAGTTTACAGTGGTTTTAGCACATTTTTTCTCTCCAAATTGTCTGAAGGCCTTCAGAACACGTCCTTGGGCTGTCACTGTTCTCCACAGGGCAGATTTTCCCCGAGCTGCAATATGTCCATGTGATTCCTATGTGCCAGAAATGAGACAATATCAGCAACCTTAAACGCTTTATGACAAGACTGAGAGTGTAAATGGGTACTTTCTGCTTCAAGGACAATTTTATCACCACCCACCCAAAGAGCAAGGGTCAATTATTCCCACTAGAACATTTTCAAGGCACTTTTAAGAGTGTACCTAAATAATAATAATAATAATAATATTAATGAGAATTGTTGTAAAATATTTTCTGGTCATAAAAGGCTAAAGTTTGCTGGCTGACTTACTTTACATTTATGCATTTGTCAGGTCCCATTATCCAAAGCGACTGCATCGCATTGAAGGTAAACAGTTTTCAATCAGTTCATGCATTCCCTGGAGGAATTCAGGCTTAAATCTTAGAGTGTAATAAGCAATCCACTGAACGGCAAGTTGTAAGAACCCAAGTGCAGCTTTTATTTAACAAAGTGAAATCCAAAATACAAACAAAGACTTGACTTGAACAGACTTGACTTGGCATGAACAAACTAGACTCACCGACAGCAGGTTACAACATCATAAAGCTAGACAAGGAACAATGGCAACATGAGGGCTATTTGTATCAAACACTAAGGGACACATGATAAGAATAAACCAATGAGCAAACAGAACTAAGAGTCACATGACAGGACAATAACCAATGAGGAACAACACACATGGCTAAAACAACCAACCAGAGCATGACACATACACTAGGCAGGATAACATAAGGATCAAGGGAATCACATGACAGGAACATGAAACATGGCTAAATATACAAATAAAAGACATCAAAACCTAAACCAGACACAAAACCCAAACCCCACGTTACATAGAGCATGGTGCTAGCAACAGCAAGGTCATGGGTTTGATTCCCAGGGATTTTTTAATGTATTTATCTTGGCTAAATAAAGGATAAATAAAAAATCCTTGGGAATCAAACCTATGACCTTGGTGTTGCTAAGGCTATGCTCTACTGTTTTAGTTTAAGTTCCCCCAGAATGAAATTCTCTTATCATTTATGATTTTCTGTCTTCCATGGAGCACATAAGGAGAAATTTAGATAAATGTTTATTGAAACACAATGAATGTAAATGGGGACAAATATTTTCAGGGTGTAAAAATGACAAAAATGCTTCTGAATATTTGGAATATTCGAATTGATTTGTAAAAACTGCTTTTATGAAACTTTGGCTATGCTTTTTTGATCATTTTTGACCCAATTAACTTTCATTGTATAAAAAATGTGGGTTGAAATATTACTGTAAAACTCAAAGTCCCCCACAATTATCTAAGATATTTCCTACGGTGTTTCTGCTGTAATTATGACAACACTGCTTGTTTTCAACAAAGTTTTTTACAGAAAGTGGAAGTGTTGATATATTAAATTAAACCTGATACATTTTGGGATTTTATAAGGGTATATTAACACAACACCTAAACACAGAAAGGTTTTTCCTTTGCATTTTTGAAAAGTTTCGAATACAGAAGGCAACGTTATCAAAACATTCCGCTGTCACGCGGATTTGCGAAAACAATTAAAAATGCTGTACTATGCATGCCAGGCCAGTAGTTGGTGATGTCACTTTGTAAAAAACATTGTGCGTCTGCCAACATACGCATTCCTATAGAGTGGTGGAACTATGATGTCACTTTGTAGGCAAAAACCCAGAAGCAAGTTAGCATTTTAGCACTTCCGGTTCCATCGTCCCAGAGTCAATGGGTTTTTTGAATAAGGTCTGTGTTTCACACAAGCTCAAGATACTTTCCCGTTTTATTCTACGACATAAAACACACCAGTTACACCCCACTTGTGATTTTTTTTTAAATGTTACGTTTCTTAAAAAAGACGGTTGCTAAATGGGACTACAGGCGCTGTCGGAGACATTAAACGTCATCACGCTGAACACTTTATCAATTTACAGTATTTTCAGATTGTAGTATAATTTATAGTACAATTCATTGTAGAATAACCAATTAATGGTTTACCGCATTTTATATTGTTGTTGTTTTTTTTGCTTTGCCCCGAAATGCAACACAAGTCTTCGGATAGAAGATGCTCGTTTTATCGCTTACTGATGCGAAGACTCTGGGTTCGGACCATAAGGTAAAATCATATGATTATTCCATGTAAACACCACATTTACCGGCTTAGTCACGGTGAAAGTGAAACTTTAACGATGCATAGTGCTTAAAGCCATGTTAAAATGAAATGTTTATGGCCACAAGAAGCTGTTAGAAAGCAGATTGAGGATTTTCTAGAAGCAAGGATAAAATAA